GAGCAGGCACAGGCTGTCAGCACTGCTGAGCCTCTGCATGGGGACAGCCATGGATGCAGGAATGGGGCTGTGCTGGGGATGCCTGGGGGTGCCCAGCACAGGGGGGCTGCAGTGCAGGGAGGAGAGCCAGGAGAGCCAGGAGATCATCCTGGAGTGCTGTGTCCAGCTCTGGCCCCTCTGTTTGGGAAGGATGTTGAGATGCTCAAGGGCATCCAGAGGAGGCAACGAGGCTGGAGAGGGGCTGGGAACACAAACCCTGTGAGTGAGGAACCCCTGAGGGAGATGGGGGTGCTCAGCCTGGAGAAAAGGAGACTCAGGGGTGCCCTCATCGCTCTCTGCAGCTCCTGAAAGGTGCCTGTGCTCAGCTGGGGCTGGGCTCTTTCTCCAGGCACTGACAGAACCAGAGCACACAGCCTCGAGCTGCCCCAAGGGAAATACAGGGTGGATATCAGGAAAAGGATTTTACAGAAAGGGTGATAAAGTTCTGGAATGTTCTGCCCAGAATTCACAGAATGACCAGTTTGGAAGAGACCTTCAAGCTCATCGAGTACAACCCAGCCCCAACCCCTCAACCAAACCCTGGCACCCAGTGCCACATCCAGGCTTTGTTAAACACACCCAGGGATGGGGACTCCACCACCTCCCTGGGCAGAACATTCCAGAACTTTATCACCTTTCTGTAAAATCCTTTTCCTGATATCCAGCCTGTATTTCCCTTGGGGCAGCTCGAGGCTGTGTGCTCTGGCTCTGTCAGTTCCTGGAGACAGAGCCCAGCCCCAGCTGAGCACAGGCACCTTTCAGGAGCTGCAGAGAGCGATGAGGGCACCCCTGAGTCTCCTTTTCTCTGATGATTCTGTGGTTCTATGACCTCCACAGCCCAACCATCCCCATGCTCTGGGTGCAAGCTCAGTTTCACCAAAATCCCATCTCCTCCTTGGTCACTCTCCCATGTTCCCCAGCTTCCCCGGGGGCACCATTCCCCCTCTCATCCCAGACACACAAGCACTGACAGCAGCAGCAGCCCCACCTTGTAATATTTAAAACAATTTTATTCATGAAAATATGCTGTACAATGCACTATACACAGTTCTTTACATTGCCACATACACAAACTCTAATAGCACAACCAAGAAAGTTACCATTGCCTACAATAAATGTGTGTGAGAGATGAGACCCTCCCCCCAGTCTGTACAGTTATAAATACGAGGGAAACGGACCCAAAACCGCCAGGGGAAGCAAACTGGGGGGTCCTGGGTGTCCCCCCACACTGGCTCCAGGCAGGGCAGGGTGGGAGCAGGGAGGGAGCTCCTGGTCCCAGAGGGGGAATGGCTGATGGAGAGGGGAGGATGGAGCTCACTGAGGTGGGATGTGGGGTGGCCTCGCTGAGGGAACCCAGAGCCTCAGGCAGTGCCACAAAGCCCTGCTGGGTGTCCCCTTCCCCACAGTGACAGTCACAGGGGGGGCACAGCCACGCCAGCCACCCCCAGCACCCCCAGTCCCTCAGCACCACCCACCCGGACACCACAGCCCACCTGCCCTGGTGCTCCGGTCCCTGGCCGGGCCAGCAGTGCCACCCAGCCCTGCAGCCTCCCTGTCCCCAGCCCTGCAGCCTCCCTGTCCCCAGCCCTGCAGCCTCCCTGTCCCCCGTGGCCGCCCCCGTGGCCGCCCCTCGCCCCGCAGGGCACTGAACACACGACTGAACTGACGTTACCAACACCACTGCACCGCACACACGACAACCCCACGGTCACGAACCACGACACAGCTTGGCCAGGGGCCGTGCCCACGCAGCGGGGCAGGGGCACGGGGCGGCACGGCGGGCACGGGGACACCTCCCTCTAGGGCTGGGGACATGGGACACTGCCCTCCAGTGCTGGGGACATGGGGACACTGCCCTCCTGTGCTGGGGACACGGGGACACTGCCCTCCTGCTGTTGGGGACATGGGGACACTGCCCTCGTGTGCTGGGGACACGGGGACACCTCCCTCTAGGGCTGGGGACAGGGGACACTGCCCTCCAGTGCTGGGGACACGGGGACACTGCCCTCCAGTGCTGGGGACATGGGGACACTGCCCTTCTGCTGTTGGGGACACGGGGACACCTCCCTCCTGTGCTGGGGACATGGGGACACTTCTCTCCTGTGCTGGGGACAGGGGGACATTGCCCTCCTGCTGTTGGGGACATGGGGACACCTCCCTCTAGTGCTGGGGACACGGGGACATCTCCCTTCTGTGCTGGGGACACTGCCCTCCTGCTGCTGGGGACATGGGGACACCTCCCTCCAGTGCTGGGGACAGGGGGACACCTCCCTCCAGTGCTGGGGACACTCCCCTCCTGCTGTTGGGGACATGGGACACTTCTCTCCAGTGCTGGGGACACGGGGACACCTCCCTCTAGTGCTGGGGACAGGGGGACATCTCCCTTCCTGCTGTTGGGGACAAGGGGATGTTGTATTGCACTAAGGGGACACCTCCCTCCTGTGCTGGGGACAGGGGACACTTTCCTCCACTGCTGGGGACACTCCCCTCCTGCTGTTGGGGACAAGGGGACACTTCCCTCCTGCTCTGGGGTAGTTCCCCCATCACATTGATGGCCAGCCAGTGTCTGTGACACTGAAGGGGGCTCGGGGACCCCAGCATGGGAGAATCCCATCTCCAACTGCCCGACTGCTGCCCGGCATGCTGGTGTGCTGCTGGATCTGTGCCTGGAGGGCAGATGCCTGGAGGAGCCAGGAATCCTTCCCTGTCTCCCATTCCTGGAGGGCAGATGCCTGGAGGAGCCAGGAATCCTTCCCTGTCTCCCATTCCTGGAGGTGAGATGCCTGGAGGAGCCAGGAATCCTTCCCTGTCTCCCATTCCTGGAGGTGAGATGCCTGGAGGAACCAGGACTCTTCCCTGTCTCCCATTCCTGGAGGTGAGATGCCTGGAGGAGCCAGGAATCCTTCCCTGTCTCCCATTCCTGAGGCCCCCATTTGCTCCAGGGCAGCCAGAGCTGCCCTCTCCTCCTCTCTGGGTCCCTCACACCACGTGCTGAACTGGGGGTTCAGGGGTTAAAGAGCCATTTGCAATCGGTTTCCAAGGATTTGAAAGATGCCTGCAAGGAGAGGTGGTGTACAAAAGGAATGCGGTAATGATCCTGACCAAAGAATAATCCTTTTTAAAAAAGCATTCAAGAAAGATTATATATAATAGAATATATTAAATTCTGTACATGATCAAATAATGTAAACATAATTAATTAACTTGTAAGGATGTCTTTAGAGACCGTGCCTGCCGTGTGCCCTGGGTGAAGGTGAGCAGTGGCACACAGGGCTCCTCTGTCACAGCCATGTGGGTCAGGAGAGGAGCAGGAGGTGCCACCCATGGGTCCCCCTGCCCTGACCTGTGGCTGGGACCCAGCTCCATGGCAGAGGAAGCTGGGCTGGGAAAATGTGCTGGTTCTGTGCACTGACCCCACTGCAAGCCAGGGGCTGGGGGTCACACAGAGCCTGTGGTGCCCAGGAGGAAGAAAGGCTGAGCAGAGACACCCCAGGACACAGCAGCAGCTCCCAGCTCCTCCTCCCAGCCCCTCCACCCTCTCCAGACCAGCTGCTCCTGCTGGCCACCAGCCTGACCCCCTCCAAACCCTGCTGCTCCTGGCAGCTGTGTGGAATGGCTGGGACATCCCTGGCCCTCTCCTGCCCCACAGAGTGGGGTCACTTTGGGGTCCTGACACACAGCAGGACCACGTGTGAATCGTGGTCCTCACTCCCACGGAGCCCCAGCCCCTGGCAGGTGGGTGCACCCCTCTTGCTGACAGCTCCTGGCACCCCAGGGGTGGGCAGTGAGACACTGGGACAGCCATGGTGGCACTGACCCCCCCAGGAACCCCACAGCCCTGGCTGGGGCCCCCGTGGCACCTCCCTGAGCAATGTGGGTCACCCAAGCTTGGAGCAGGATGGACCCCACGCTGCGTCCAGAGGCCTGGGCCACCACATCCCTCCCTCCTCACACACACAGAGCCCCTCCTGGAGGGTGGCCCACATCACAGCCCCCAGCTTTACCCCAACTTCCAACACCCCATGGCCAAGCCAAGATGAGCCATGTGATGGGACACATCGCCCATGGCCTCTCTCTCTCCTCTCCCTAAGCTCGACCCTTTCTTCCTTCCAATGCAAAAACTCAATGGCAAAAGAGTGCATGAAATCAAATAAATACTTCCCCCTCCCCGCACCTGCGAGCTGCCCCTGAGCCTCCAGCCCAGGGGTCCCTCACTGCCAGCAGGACCCCCCAGGAGCGTGCCCAGCCTGCTCCAGGCAGGGGCTGCAGCTTCTCCTGCACCCCCAGGGCTGCCAGATGCTGCTCCAGGGCTGCTGGCTGCACACCATCACCACCCCCTGCCCACTGCTCGGCAAGGAACCCTGCCTGGAGCCACCAGGATGCCCAGCAGAGCTGGCCTGGGGGCGTGGGCTCAGCAGAGCTCCCATCTCCACCAGGACTGAGGGGCCACGAGCCCCCCCTTGCCCTGGGGCAGGGTCCCCACTCCTGACACTTCTGCCCAGAGGATTCATTTCCCAAGGTGGCTCAGAGAAGAGTTGTTCCCCAGGGGGGATGCCCGTGCTGGGGGTGTCCCATAGCACCAGCCATCACCACTCTGTCCCCCAGCCCAAGGGCAAATCCAACTGGCACCATTACCACGGGGCACTGGGCCTGTCTAGAAAGGCTTTCCCTTCCTGCTACGCCCTGGATCTGCCTGGCTCCGGCTGCCTCTCCCACCCACCTGCCCTGTGTCCTCCAGAGGATGCTGGCAGGACCTGCAGACCGGGCACACCTGGGGCTGGGCGTCCTCCCCCATCTCAACATTGGACCCTCCGGTTTGTGTTTCGTGTTCGACCTTAAGCTCAGACCGATGGCTCTCGCCTATCTTAACAAACAAAGGCAGAAGAGAAAGGAAAAAAAAACAGTTAGTCTCAATGTTCCCCTGGTGGCTCCCCGGTGGCAAGCCCGAGCAGGGGCAGGGGTCACCCGGGCACCCAGCTCTGGTTCGTGGGCTGTGGCCCCCCGGGCAGCGCGGGCACGTTGAGCCCGTTCTGCGGCGGGAGCGCCGAGTCGAAGTTGAAATCCATCTCATCACTGTCCATAAAGTCATTGAGGATGATGGACTCCACGTCGCACTCCAGGCTCCCGTTGAACATGTCCAGGTCCAGGTCTGCTGGGAACCTGTCTTGGCCCAACACGGGGGGGTGGACAGCCCCCGGGTAGGGGCCCTGCAGCGAATCCAGCAGGCTCATGTGTGCCCCTTGGCTATTGGCGTAGGGATGCAGGTGCCCGTGGTGGTGCGGCACGGCCGTCATGCTGCACGACTCACTGGGCAGGCTCATAAGGCTGACAGGATTGGCTAAGGCACTGGTGCTGACCGCAGGGTGGTGGCCGGCTGGTGACGGGTGGTACAGGGCGTTGCTCTTCATCAGAGAGCCCGGGTGGGGCGGGTAGGAGGACAGGGCCTGCTCTCCAGCCCCACACAGCAGCGGGTTGTGTCTGTGGCCACGGGCCGGCACCATGGGGCTGGCCTGCGGCAGGGGGGGCAGCTCCCCCGGGACCATGCTCTCCTTGTGCGCGTAGGAGATGGAGGAGAGCAGGTCCTGCAGCGAGGCGTTCCTGTAGGAGCTGGCGGGCGAGAAGGTGGCCTGCTTGTTCTCCTGGATGGTCTGCATGGGCAGGCGGCGCATGAGGCCCATGGCCGGCTGGCTGTAGATGGTCCCGCAGTAGGTGTTGGAGCCGGCCCCCATGCTGGAGCACTTGGAGTTGAAGGTGAAGCTGGAGCTCCTCTGCCGCAGGGCGGCTGGGGGGAGCTGCTGCGAGGGGCTCATGCTGTAGCCATCCTGCAGGTCCTCCAGCATGCTCTCCCCCAGGCTCTCGTTCAGGCTGATGGTGCCGGTCAGGTCGGTCAGCCGGGGCAGCTCCACGGAGCAGCGGGCGCTGAGGGAAGGAGACATGGTGCTGGAAGGGCTGGGGTACATCAGCGGCGACGAGGGGGTGCCATCATCCTCCTCCAGCTCGTCCGGCTCATGGTTGGCCATGATGGGCGAGAGGCGCCCGCTCAGCGTGCTGGCCGTGGAGCTGGCCCGCGTCCTGAAGTCCGCCCAGGCGTCGTACTCATCGCTGGCGTGGGACGCGGGGCTCTCCGACCACTTGGGCTGCTGGGAGGACGGGCTGTCCTCGCCGCGCTCCTGCGTCACCTGCAGCTGCTTCTTCTTGCTGGCCTTGCCCTTGATGCGCAGGAACTTGCTGTTGTTGTCCATGGACACGGCGCGCCGCCGCGGCGTCTTGCCCGTCTTGCCGCCCTCGGGGTTCAGCATCCACCAGGAGCTCTTGCCCGTGCCCTCGTTCTGCACGCGGATGAAGCGCGTGTGCAGGGACAGGTTGTGCCGGATGGAGTTCTGCAGGGACAGCAAGGACAGGGCAGGGTCAGCAGCAGGGAGGGCACCCCCAAAGGAAAGGGAGGCCCACGGGGCTGGGGGGAACATGGGGCACTGCGAGGCACCGTGGGATACCCCCAGAGCTGAGGGTTTGGGGCTGGGAGAGCTGGGCTGGCAGGTCCCTCCCACATCCCACGGGTCACAGCCCCTTGCTGCGCCTCCCAGCTCTGTCTGGGGCACAATTCCTGCCATGGCAGGTCCCAGGGACCTGGAGCAGGGGAGCACCCTGAGGACCTTCCTTCCCTGACAGGAGCCTGCAGAGGGACAAATGCAGTGACAGGGTCAGGACCATGCACAGGCCCAGGGCTTCTCCATCCCTCCCTCCCAGCTCTGTCTGGGGCATAATTCCTGTCATGGCAGGTCCCAGGGACCCATCCTGGGCTCCATCCCCCAGAGCTGAGGGTTTGGGGCTGGGAGGGCTGGGCTGGCAGGTCCCTCCCACATCCCACGGGTCACAGCCCCTTGCTGCACCTCCCAGCTCTGGCTGGGGCACAATTCCTGCCATGGCAGGTCCCAGGGACCCACAGCAACCAGGGCAGCTCCCAGGGGACCTTCCTTCCCTGACAGGAGCCTGCAGAGGGGTGAAAAGGCAGCAAATGCAGTGATGGGGTCAGGACCATGCACAGGCCCAGGGCTTCTCCATCCCTCCCTCCCAGCCCAAGGCCACGACGTAGCCAGCACATCCCACAGGATGCTGCCAGCACAGCCAGCACCTCCGTGGAGATCCCAGCCTGCTCCCCACCAGCCCCACAGGAGAGGGGATCCCTTTGGAGGGGACTCCAAGCCCCTTCCCCTGCCTGGCACCACTGGGGATGTGCTCCCCTCCACCCTCAGCACCAACACATGCCCTGTGCAGGGCACGTCAGCACCACCACAGCCCTAAACAACCTGTTGGCACCATGTGGGACCTTGTCCCCAAACGCTTGTCAGGCCAGCAGGGCAAGGAGGGGATTCCTCCCCTTGGCTCTTGTGAGACCCCATCTGCAGAGCTGCCTCCAGCCCTGCAATCCCCAGCATAGCAAGGACATGGAGCTGTTAAAGCTGCTCCAGAGGAGAGGAGAAGGCTCCAGGGAGAGCTCAGAGCCCTTGCAGGGCCTGAAGGGGCTCCAGGAGAGCTGCAGAGGGACTGGGGCCAAGGATGGAGGGCCAGGAGGCAGGGAATGGCTGCCAGTGGCAGAGGGCAGGGCTGGATGGGATCTTGGGAATTGGGAATTGTTCCCTGGCAGGGTGGGCAGGGGCTGGGCTGGAATTGCCAGAGCAGCTGTGGCTGCCCCTGGAGCCCTGGCAGTGCCCAAGGCCAGGCTGGAGCACCTGGGACAGTGGGAGGTGGCCCTGCCATGGCAGGGGTGGGATGGGATGGGAGGGGATGGGATGGGATGGGATGGGATGGGATGGGATGAGCTTTGAGGTGCCTCCCAACCCAAAGCATCCTGGGGTTCTCTGTCACCTGCCTCTCCCAGCTGACATGCAGCTCAAGGGATGCCAGCCCAGCTCCCTGTGCCTCAGTTTCCCCAGAGGACAAAGGCAAGATGCAGAGCCCAGGGAGGAGTCTGCAGCACAGAGACCCTTCCCCACGTCTGCCCAAAGGCTCAGGGCTGGCCAGGGCCTCCTGGAGAGGGGAGGCCCCTCCCCAGCCCCTTCCCAGCTGCAGGAGGGGCAGAAGGATGAGGAGGGGGAGGAACCCACGGCAGAGGGGAGAAAGTTTGGTGCTGTTGTGGTGTACAGTGGAATACTAATGAAGAGGCAAGTGAGCTCCAGCCTCATCTATCATATTATGTAATGGCTTACTTCTCTGCACTTCATTTATTTGGAGATTGCTCCCAGGCTGGCTCCTCGCCAGCAGCCACCAAATCCAAGTCTACAGAAATCAATCTCGCACTGACTGATTAAGCCGTGTTTAGAACTAATTGCTCCTTCGTGTGTGGGGAGAATAAATTACGGGCTTTAATTTCACATCTTTAAAATGCAACTGCAGGTATGGGCCAGCCATTAACCCCTTCCTGCACGGCTGGGGAGGGGGCTCAGGGGTGGTTGGGACACAGCTGCCCAAACAGGGCTCACCACCTGCCAGCAGAGCAGGTCAAGCCCTGGCCTTGACACCCCCTGACCCTTCCAGCAGCTCTCCTTAAGCCACAGGATGATCCAAACTCCCTTCCCATCCAGGACCAAACTGCCATCCCATCCATCATTGGACAGGATCATCCAAGCTCCCATCCTATCCAGGACCAAACTGCCATCCTGCCCATCATTGGACAGGATGATCCAAACTCCCTTCCCATCCAGGACCAAACTGCCACCCTGTCCATCATTGGACAGGATCATCCAAACTCCCATCCTATCCAGGACCAAACTGCCATCCCATCCATCATTGGACAGGATGATCCAAACTCCCTTCCCATCCAGGACCAAACTGCCATCCCATCCATCATTGGACAGGATGATCCAAGCTCCCATCCAGGACCCAGCCACCGTCCAAGCAGCAGGGACAGAAGCACAGCAGAGGTTGTCACTGCCTGGCAGGGCCAGGGCCAGCAGCCAGCTCAGCCCCACGGCGCTGCCCTGCACCCACAGAGCTGGGGATGCCAAACTGGGCTTGCAGGAGCGATGCTCAGTCACTGCTGGGCCCTGTCAGGAGCGGGGACCCTGCCACAGCCACAGTCCCTCCCTGCCAGCACTGCCAGCCTGCCCAGCACAGGAGGCAGGAGATGCTGCAGCAGGGCTGGAGCTGCCATGCAGAGCACGGGGACAGGGGATGGGCTCTGGGCATGTCACAGCTGCACGGGGGTGACATTCAGCATCCTCTGCTACAGCCCCCTCCCACCCCAGAGGAGCACAGGGCACCCCAGAGCCCCGAGGCAGGGCACAGGGCTGGCAGGGTCAGGCTGCCTGAGGCAGAGGAGACGAGGAGAGGCTGCTGCTTCTCCCGCAGCCGAGCTTCATTAAGAGCCAGAAGCCAGCAGCAATTAAGTGCAAGGTGCAGCACACCCGGCTCTCTCCTCATTAGCACCCCGGCACGCTCGCTGCCCGCGGCTCAGGGCGCAGGGAGCAGGGCTGGGGTGGGCAGGAGCTGATTATCAGCAGGACCTGCCTCACTTGGGCAGCCCCAGGCACCCAGCGTCCCACAGCACCCTGGCAGTGTCCTCCTGACACACAGGGGACGGCAGCTGCCTTGGCAGGGGGTGGCCTGGGGTCAGGAGAGGATGGTGCCAGCCCCAGGGCACCCACGGCGCCTTTGGCACCACTCCCTGCCCTGCAGCGCTTCTTGCAGAGCTGGCCGTGCTCTGTGCCCATGCTGTGCCCCTCTGTCCCCCTGTCACCCCTGCCTGTCCCCATGGCTCAGCCCCTCACTGCTAACCCAGCCCCACAGCCCCCAGTGCCCAAACCCCAAACAGCACCGGGCAAGGGCATTGGTCAGGGCTCAGAGCCAGCCCTGCTGGGGGTGACACACAGCCTGTGACAGGGGGGACACTCAGCCCATGCTGGGGGTGACACACAGCCTGTGACACCAGTGACACCCAGCCCCTGACACCAGTGACACACAGCCCATGCTGGGGGTGACACACAGCCTGTGACACCAGTGACACACAGCCCTTGACACCAGTGACACACAGCCTGTGCTAGGCATGCAATAGAGCCGGTGACAGGGGTGACACACAGCCCATGACAGGGGTGACACCCAGCCGGTGACACCAGTGACACCCAGCCCGTGCCGGGGCTGACACACAGCCCATGACAGCAGTGACACCCAGCCCCGCCAGGGGTGACACCCAGCCTGTGCTAGGGGTGACACACAGCCCATGACAGCAGTGACACCCAGCCCATGCCAGGGTGACACACAGCCCATGACAGCAGTGACACCCAGCCTGTGCTAGGGGTGACACACAGCCCATGACAGCAGTGACACCCAGCCCTGCCAGGGGTGACACCCACCCCATGACAGAGGTGACAGCCAGACCATGCCAGGGTGACACCCAGCCCATGCCAGGGTGACACCCAGCCCATACCAGGGTGACACCCAGCCCATGACAGCAGTGACACCCAGCCTGTGCTGGGGGTGACACACAGCCCATGTCGGGGCTGACAGCCAGCCCATGACAGAGGTGACAGCCAGCCCATGCCAGGGTGACATACAGACCATGCCAGGGTGACACCCAGCCCGTGCCAGGGTGACACACAGCCGGTGACAGGGGTGACATACAACCCCTGCCAGGGGTGACACCTGCACCGTGGACCCCCGCCCGCCCCCGCAGCTCAGCCGAGGGGGCCGGGATGCTCTGGGGAGCACAAGGGCGGGCTGGAGGTGGCACCGGGGCTGCAGGTGCCCCGGACCCCCTGCCCAGCCTGGCTGGCACCAGGGCAGGACGAGGCTGAGCCCGTGCCAGCCCATGCCAGCTGCCGGAGGCTTTGCCAGGCTGGAACACCGCGGTGCCAGGGCAGTGCCCGTCTGCGGGGCCGGAGGGGGGGCTGCGGGCACCCACAGAGCCCCTCACCCCCCCAGGAGCCCTCCTCCGGCGAGCCTCATTGTCAGGGGAGCCGGCAGTGTGAAATCGGTCTGATTAGCAATTAGTGCCATTGTAACGGGATTAGCCGGACCCATTGTTCGGGAGAGTGCCTCGACTGTCAATGGGCAGCTGGCAGCGACGGTGAGGATGACAACGATGCTGCGGGAGAGCCTCACCCCCCGAGGGAGGACGCCTGAAATGAGCATCGAGCCCCGAGATGAACCCCAGGCCCCAAAATGAGCATCGAGCCCCGAGACCAACCCCAGGCCCCAAAAGGAGCATTGAGCCCTGAGATGAACCCCAGACCCCGAAATGAGCATTGACCCCCGAGATAAAGCTCAGACCCCGAAATGAGCATCAATCCCTGAGATGAACCCCAGGCCCCAAAATGAGCATCGAGCCCTGAGATGAACCCTGGGCCCCAAAATGAGCATTGAGCCCCGAGATGAACCTCGGACC